CTCCAATACTTTGGCCATCTCATGAGAAGAGAAGACTCCCTGGAAAAGACCCTGCTGTTAGGAAAGTGTGCAGGCAAGAGGAGAAGGGGGCGACAGAGGATGAGATGGTTGGACAGTGTCATCGAAGCTACCCATGTGAATTTGACTCAACTCTGGGAGGCAGTGGAAGACAGGAGGGCCTGGCGTGCTCTGGTCCATGGGGTCACGAAGAGTCGGACACGACTAAACGACTAAACAACAACAAAGTTGCAAATAGCCATGTGATGTTGAAAATGTGATGTAGCTGCAAAACAGGCAAATATTTTTTCAAGCTTCATTAACAGAAGTATAATTTCCAAATCCTGTGAATTGCTATTCCCCCTGTATTTGGCACTAGTTAGGCCTCATCTAGAGTACTGTGACAAGGTCTTTAAGAAGAATGCCAGGAAACTGGAACAAGTTCAGAGGAGGGCAACGAAGATGATCCCATAAGGAAAGATTTTTTTAAAAAATATGCCTGTTTAGCTTTGAAAAAAGAAGACTGAGCAGAGGTATGATAACTTTGAAAGGTTATGCTTGCTGTTGTTGTTTTTTTAAGTATGCACTAGAACTTGTATCATATGCTGCAGCAGGAGTCACTGCAAGTTAAACCAGGCTTTTCTGGAATGTGTAGCTTTGGCCCTGGAGAAAATTGGCACTGATAGGCTTCCTTCTTGAGATGCGAACATCAGTTTTAGGTAAAAGAATTGTATGGTAGGTACAAGGCATTAATTTTTTTCCCCTCCCTGCGCAGTGTAGTTCTTATCTCCATGTGTGTGTATGTGTTTTAAGTTGCATAAAATGCACCCATATTTTATTCAATTTAATCCTATGATGGATTGAAAGCCAAAGAATAGCGAAGTAGAGGGTTGTAAAATACAGTTTGGGCTATTTAAAACTAGTAGTTTCCCTTGGCTTCAAATGGGAATGTAGGAGCTCCACCCCAATTTTTTCTGCAGGTTCCCTTCTTAGCTTATAACTGTTCCTTCCACCTCCATTGTAAAACACACAATACAAAAGGAAAAGGAATTGTAAAGGAAGAGGGAAAAAGGAAACCCAGGCACTAGTTCCTTCCACCACTTGATACTTGGTAATCCCGTGCATGTTCATTAGGAAGTGAGTTCTATTGTGTTTAGTAGGATGTACACCTACATAAATGTACATGGGGCTGCAATTCTAATTGGCCATGATGGGTAAGGGCCAACTTTTTGGCTCTGTTGAATGCCTGCCCCTCCCAGCCTCGGTGGTGCTATAAATTATTTAGGAGTCAGAACCTAAATTTGTCCCAGGATTGTGGCTGTGTCTCTAGGCTGAAGAAAATTTTAATCTGGGGTACCTATACTCCTTCTTTGCCTATCCCCCTTCCCACCCCTTTTTGGCTGGCAGATCTTGCCCAACAGAACAGAGTCTGATAGAAAAATCTATTTTCAGACACCGTTATCGTTGAAATAACTTTCTGTAAAAGAATGTTCTCTTGGCAGAAGGGGATTTCTACCAGCAGAATAAATTGGTGCCTAGTCCTAAACATCTACAATTCCGAGTTAGGATTGCACTGCTCAGAGCATGGGGATGGCCCACGCTTACATTTTGAGCTGAGCTCCTTTCCTAGTCCATTAGTTGCTCTTTTACTACCCCGAAAGCTCCCTTTCTGAAAGCACCAGAGACTACTATGGATTATGATCCCTGATTTGGCCAGGCGAGTGAATTACAGATTTCTGAACTATTAAATAACAGCAATGAAAAGTCTTACTAATGAGAAACATTGATTGTAAGAAAAAGAATGTTTATGAGGTAGGATGCCTTATGGTTCATCTATTGCTGAGGTTGCCCACAAGGTCTGTGAGACTGAAGAGCAAGGACAAAACTTAACGACCTTGGTATGCAATGTTTGTAATGGTACGTTCTGAACATGCACAGAAAATGACATCTGATTTTCTTACAAGGGCTTTCTGTGAATAGCAAGAAGGAATAATGAAACCGGTGACGTCTTTTACATACATACACAGATATAGATTGAGGGTTTCCTTGTATGTACTTTGGGCCTGTGGCTGGGAGGAGGGTTATGCAGTCCTGGCCATCCCAAACATGCTTCTGTCCTCCCATCCCAGAGCAAGGAGGTCCTACCTGGCCATTGGTCTTGGTGGGCTATATATGCCTTCACTGTGAACACATTTATTTCCTGGTGAAAAATATGGAACTCTATTAAATTCATAGGTGTTTTTAATTGTTTTAAAAATTGTTTTAAGTCTAACTTTCTGGTGTTTCTTATGGCATTTGTAATGGTGATTATTGTGTAGTTTTAATTGACTAGGAGCCACCTTGAATTCCCAGGGAGAGAAAGGCAGCATGTTAAACAAACAAACAAACAAACAAGTCATTTAATGGTGTACTTGGAGAGTCATGCCTCACCTACTTTTCATTTTACTCTAGTAGGCACTTTCATTTTATCCAGTTTGTCCCAACTTAAAACTTTTGGCTATGGGCCTAATTCCACTTACTATATCAGAAGCAAGAATAATGAACTTTGTTTCTTATGAAAATGGCAGCTATCTATTATAGATGGTGGTTTTAGGGCTTTTAGGATTGATTCAGAAAAGCCTTACCCTGTCATCGCTGATAGTGAGGTCCAGCAGTGTCAGAGACTGTAAAATAGACTTCATTGGATATATAAATTAGTCATAATCTTTTAATAAATTGGTCAAAACGTATTAAAATTAAGTTGGTTCAGCATTAAGAGAAGTGGTATTAATAGTGATCAAGGCAATTGATAGATAAGGTCTAGGAAATTTTATTCTTGGTTAGGTTAAGTTTTAGGAATGGAGATGGGCAGAAACTGCACTTTTGATGGTTTGGCCCAGTTCAGTGCGGCACCCACACAGGTGTTCCCTGGGTGCTTAGTGATTCCCTTTCCTGCCTCCTTCATGTCTTTGCCCACTCACAAACTACATCATGCTTCCCTCCCCAACCTTCCTTGGTGGCCAGCCACTCGCCAGCAGTAGCACACACTTCCCCCCTCCACCTCCTCCAGCAGCCACCCGCTCAGAGGCAGAGCCACAAGGCAATTGATAGATAAGGTCTAGGAAATATTATTCTTGGTTAGGTTAAGTTTTTGCTTCCCTGCCCTGCCTCCTCATCTGAGTGGTCAGCTGCTGGAGGAGGGAAGTGTGCATTGCTGCTGGTGAGTGGCTGACCACCAGGGGAGGTTGGGGAGGGAATCATGATGCCACTTGTGAGTGGGCAAAGACATGAAAGAGGCAGATGAGTGAAATGTGTGGTGCCTGCCGAACACCTGTGTGGGCGCCATGCTGAATTGTGCCAAGCTGTCAAAAGCACAGTTTATGCCCATCTCTACTTGGGAATGTATGAGCATGCCTTGTACAGAGTCATACTGTAGGTCCACCTACTTAGTATTGTCTGAACTCACACTGTCTCTCCAGGGTTTAAGATAAATGTTACTTCTATTCCGTCACTGAGGGCTAAAATAACTTAGAGTGCTGAGGGGACAGGGAGTGAAGAAATGACACAGTATTATTGCTGCACAGTCAATATCTGGGCCATTGTTTCCTTCCAATTGCTAAATAAAACCAAGCTGTCACTTACTTCCAAAGCTGTGAAAGACAGAAGATAATCACATGTCCTTTATGACTTAAGACAGCTTTGATTCTAATTGTGGTGCTCCCTATTTTGTCCAAACTGATTAGACCAATAATAGTGAGAACTGGTAAGTAGTAGAAAGTAGCTTTGTGAAAACTCTTGAAACCTAAGGACTCTTGTGGATCCACTGGGCAGCAGGTGGACCATATTGAGAGTTCTGACCGCAGTTATGTATTACATTGCTTCAAATGGCTGCAATCTCATGATGAGCATTTGTTTATTGTGTTAATATTTCTATAGGTTTATTATCCAAGGCTCACAGCAGACCAGAAACACATTCCAGTCAGTCATGGGCATGGAGGATTCCTTAAGGTATATTTATTTAAATAACTTTTAAAAATATCTTGCAAGATAAAGGGACTTTACAATGTTATGCAAATAGGAAATGTTCTGTGATTGTCCAGCTAATAGAGGAAGAAGAATAAGCTGTTATTTAAATTTGTTATTGTGTATAGCTTACACAATATTAAGATTTAAGTACTTGTTACATTAAAACATGTAAAAGAATCTATTTTAAAAAATTGAAACAAGCTTAGAGGAATGGAAAAACAGCATGTGATATGTAATTGGTTGCTCAGGTAGTATATCTTATCTACCTTTTAAGCTTTCAGTGGAGCCTCGTGGCGCAGTGGTTAAAACGCTGTACTGCAGCTAATAGAGGAAGAAGAATAAGCTGTTATTTAAATTTGTTATTGTGTATAGCTTACACAATATTAAGATTTAAGTACTTGTTACATTAAAACATGTAAAAGAATCTATTTTAAAAAATTGAAACAAGCTTAGAGGAATGGAAAAACAGCATGTGATATGTAACTGGTTGCTCAGGTAGTATATCTTGTCTACCTTTTAAGCTTTCAGTGGAATTAAATAGAAGTCTGGATGTATTGTAGATTAACAGTAAAGTGAGTGTGAAATCAACTACAACAATGTTTAATTGCCTGGCAAATGTTAATCTTATTTCTGTTTTGATATGCCTAATATCAGATGTAAATTTTTCTTAAAGTAAAAGCTGTTTTTTTCAGAAGCCACGGAACATGCTGGTTTCATTTCTTTTTCCTTGTCTACTAATGACTCAAAAGATTTGGCTGAAAAATTGGCAAATTGGCAAAGAAGTAGATGAATGAAAAACCCTTTCTACAGCTATCTCTAGAGCTAATGTATGAAGACTCCCACGGAAAATGTGTTGTTCAGATAATAGCACATTTTCTATGCACTTTGTTATGGGAAATTTCTGAGTTATGTACATAAAAGATATATGTTTATTTTACAATATTTCAAGTACTCAGTTTCAGGATTTCTGTTGATAGTACTTAGCTGAAAACTTTCACTGTGGCCTTCACAAAGGACGGCAACAAAAGTTGAAATATCTCAACACATCAGGCACAAGATAGTGATAATGATAGTATGCAATTATAATAAGCACTGCTAGAATTATAGCTACTGTGACTATTAGATATCCTAATAATATTTTCATTAGTTCATGAAGCTAGGGTCACCCAGTTGTACAGCTTACCTGGGTTCCTGTTCGTGGCCTGTTGAGTCTCAGAGCACTGGGATGCCAGCTGCCATCATAGGGTTCTTCATCCCAGGTGCCCTGGTGCCTGAGAATGCTGTGCAAGGAGCCAGCCAATCAGAGTTGGCTAGCAGCAGGGGAGGGCGGAGCTCCTTGCTTGGGAGACCAGAGAGAAACAGTTTTCCGCTTGGTCCACCAAAGGAGGCTGTAAGGAGTGCTCCAAGGTCCTCTCTTGCAGTCTTCTTTTGGATGTCATCCAGCCTCTCTCCTTTTATATATACAGCATATGCTGTTTGTATAACTTTGAGAAGGAGGGTGCTTTGCTGTTACGTTGTAACAATTGCTAATTTTCTTGTCAGTGTTTTATTGGTGTGATTTTGTGTATAGGAACAGATCGTCAATGAGGGAGATGGGTATTCAACCCTAACCTAGGCAAGGAATCCTCTTCCTATGGGGATCAAGAAGTGGGGGACTGACAGGGACATGTCCATCTTGGGAGGGGCACCACAGTCCCTCACAGCTCTTATCACTGAGTTCTTCCTGCCTCCCCACAGAGGTCTTGTGCCTGGAGAGTACCTACTCACCCCTGGTTACCAAACTTTGGGCTGCCTAGCAACAGGCAGTGATGTGCTCCTTATGCCAATAGTATCTTGCGGCAAGTGACCTTTTAATATCTGTCATCAGTCTGTCCTTTCAATAAACAGTGAACAGTGATATGTGTTGTCTTGATGGGCGGAGAACTGCTCCACCAAAAAATCATTTGCAGATCCTTGCCTGAGTCTGCAAATGATTTTTACCATTTCAGCAATTATTCAGCGCAAACCATGGTATCTCACGGGCACAGGCTACTACTTGGGGGCAGTGCTTACTCTGGATCAAGAGTGTAGTTTGGTCTGTCACTCAGTTGCTTCTGGGTTTTTGGAAGAATGCCACGCCTGCTTCTTCTATACAGATTGCTGTTGTTTCCCCTGTGGTTTTTTTTCTCCTTGAGTCTGATGGGATTCTTCTTCTGCAACCAGGGAGTGGTGGTGGAAGGGGAGGAATTAGCCACTCTGAACTTAAACTGTGGTGAAAGAGGTTTCCTATCAAGGAGGAAAGCTGAACAGAGAATTGAAAGGATGGTATATGGTAGCAGCAGTTCAATAGCATCAGGTTCAAAGTTTGGAAAACTTGATTTTTTGGATTACAGCTTTCACAATCCCAAACCAGCATGGCCAGTGCTAGGTGGGGAATCCTAAGAATTGCAGTTTTTTTTTTAAAAAATCAGTTTTTCCAAGCTTGAATAAAATTATTAGCTAACTTCTAAAACAACAAAGTGATAGTGCCTCGCAAGACGAAAGTAATTTGTCCTGCGAGTAGCGCCATCTTGCGAAATTTTCGTATTGCAAAAAGCAGCTTTCCATAGGAATGCATTGCAATGCATTCCTATGGGAAACCTCGCAAGACGAAAGAATTACTTTCGTCTTGCGAGGCATCAGTCTTGCGAAAAAAACTTGTCTTGCGAAGCACGGCCATAGAAGTAGCCATCTTGCGAGTCGCCAACACGATCACAAAACACTTTCGTCTTGTGAGTTTTTCATCCCGCGAGGCGTTCGTCTTGCGAGGTACCACTGTAATTGAAAATAAAGGAAAAGTGGCACGATAAAGACAAACAGATTTGTCTTTTAGGTGATTGCAGTGTAGGCGGCAGTCCACCTTGTCCAACAGGTTACGTCTTATGAAATGGGTTGTAATCCCCAAAAGCTAATGCTGGAATAACTAACCCTATGAATCTTTTTTTTTAAATCTGTTTTTGTATTTGTTATACATGCTGAAAGAGAATAATACAGCTTGTCTTGAATATGAGGGGTGAATGACCAGTTCCATGAGTGCAGTGGAATTCTGAATTACCAACTGCCTTCTACTCCAGACCCTCTTAAGTAAGCGGCCACCTGGGGAAATATCCGAACCAGCCTCTTCCAACACAACTAGATGGTTTATAATTAGAATTCAAACTGTAGCTAATCCCAGAGAGAAAAAATATTTCTCAGGTTGCCTCTGTTTATTGTTCAGCATGTCCAACACATTTGAGAAACGCTGTTTCCTTAGTTGTAGGAAGCGGTGCAGCTATGTTTGTGTTTTACTGCATTTTTTTCACAATACAATCCATAAACACTAATGAAGAAAATTTACAGTGTGGTCCTATCTGTTCTTATCTGCAGGAAAATTGCACTGTGGAATTTATGCCCTAGTAAGTATGTTTAGGAGTATTGCAGTGATGCACTTCATTAAAGTCTTAGCTCAGTTCAATCTTCCTTTCTTCATTATAAGACTGTAAAGAAATGCAGTTACATTCTCAGATCAGTTTTATACAATTAGATATTAGAGCACCCAAAAGGCTGCTGAAAATAACATAGTCTTTCAGTTTTATAAAAGTTTCTTGCTAATCTAAAGGATCGTTGTGTAAAGAAAAAAATGAATAGATGTTTGAATTCTGAAATTCAAGCAGAAAGGCATTTCCTCTTTCGCACAGACTAGGTGAGTGTAAATGGTTGCATGCAACAGAAATACTGTATTTGCAGATGCTGATCCTAGAATGGTCACATGGGATTATTATTTTATGATTATATGGCAAAATTTCAGGGTTGAGATTGTTTTTACAGCTGAAAAGGAACTGTACAGCACAGTGTTTTTGGCAGTCAGCCCAGATCTGTCTGTGTTGCTTGCATAGTTCTGTTTTCAGTTTTCTTTCTATATCCTCTTTAAGAGGGCCGGGGGAGAAAAGAAAACCTACTAAAGAAAGGGAATTGTCATAAAATGACCAGAGCCTTCTAAATATGGCACATACAGATTTCAATTCCCAAGTTTTCAGACCAAATTTTGATAAGACATAAACCAAAGCCTTCACATAAGCATAGACATTGTTTCAGGTTTCAAGTTGGTCAGTCTGGGGATTCTTATCTCTGGGCTAAAATATGGAGTCAAATCAAAATGCATTGCTCTGTGTACACGCATGATGCTTTCAAGCTGAATTATGGTGTTGTAGCCAGAGACATCCCCTCTGCAAGGTGTTCTGCTTTTCAGATAATTTCTTGAGGGCTGAATTTTCCTTAGAGAGCAAAGAAGAGCAATATGGGGGGGGGGTGTTCACCCTTAAAAGAAGATTGTAAAGAAACTGATTGTGAGAGGGAGGTCATCTGTTCATATTTGTTTATGCCACAAGACCTCTTTGGGCTGTTACTTCTAGTAGTGATACAGTAAAACTTCCATCTCAAGGGAGACTTGGGCTTATTGAGTTCCTTATCCAACCCAGTTGCTGAATGATAGTTTTATTTGTCAAATGAGATCAGTAATTAAAGTCAAACTCTAATTGCCAAAATGGAAAACTAATGCTGTTTTGCTAAAAACGCTGTTCAGTAGAAAAATATGGTGATCCCTGCCATATTATGAGTGAAAGAAAAAGAACCACTTTCTTATCTATTTATACAGTTGTAGGCCATAAAGGCTGTATATGATCTACCAAGACCCCACATCCCAGACTGCCTACCACAACAAGTGGCCTGTGAGAAAATTATCACCAGTGCAGAGATTTAATAGCTTGGTGGTAGCAAAAAACCCTTAGTTTGTCATAAGAGTTCTGTATGCTCTGCTTACTACTTTCACTAAATATAGTGTTCATATTTCCTTTCTCCCTGTTTGTTCCCCCTCCTTCACAGATCTGCCTTGGTGGGAGAGTAATGTTTTAGAGAATGGAGGAGTGTTGCCTACGTTTGCACAACCAGTCTAGGTTTTAGTTAGTGGTGAAATTACAGCATAAAAG